AACATTTCTTCAGATTTCTTTGAAAAGTATTCCAACATGAGCTGATGTTTGTTACTCTGACTTAAATATCTACAGGTTTCTTTCTGCTAGGAGTCAGTTTGGAGGTAGACTGTGCAAACTAAAACTTAGCACTGACCACAGCTCTCCTCTAATGTAGACCAGTGGATAGTGAAACCGGGGATTTTACTAAGTATGGAACCTGTCGTTGGAATTAACTTCATAAAAGTTAAAGTTTTTCCTTTTGCACAAAGAAAAACACCGGAAGAGTACAAAGATCAAGCCAGCCCCAGTAACGAGTGTCTGCTTGGGAGGCCACTCGGGTCACTGTTAGAGCAGCATTCCAGGGAGGAGGCCCATCCCCCCAGCCGTCTCCTGCACAGGTCGGTATGAGCTCCAGAGGGAGCGGCAGCCGATCCAACGGCTCGCTACCGCAGACCAAGATCTGCCAGTTCAAGCTGGTGCTGCTGGGGGACATGGCTGTGGGCAAGTCCAGCCTGGTGCTACGCTTCGTCAAGGGACAGTTCGACGAGTTCCAGGAGACGACTATAGGGGGTGAGACGCAGCGGTGCTGATTAGGTGAGCGTTCCTTATTAGAATGCTTCGATGCTAACTTGTTGCTCTTTCGTCCGCGTTTCTCCAGCTGCGTTCTTGGCTCAGTCAGTGTGTTTAGACGACACCACAGTCAAGTTTGAGATCTGGGACACAGCAGGACAGGAGCGATACCACAGCCTGGCTCCCATGTACTACCGCGGAGCTCAGGCCGCCATCGTCGTGTTTGATATCACTAAACCGGTACATGAAGGCAAAGAGCACATTATTTGTGAGCTAGTCTTAGAATGGGTTTAATTATACAGTCTTATGTGAAGGTCATTATTTGACCTCTGATTATGTGGTTGCAGGAGACCTTTGAGAGAGCCAAGGCCTGGGTGAAGGAGCTGCAGAGGCAGGCCAGTCCAAACATTGTTATCGCTCTGGCCGGAAACAAGGCTGATCTTGCTGAGAAGAGACTGGTAGAATACGAGGTACTACTTGCTTTTTTTTTTTTTTTTTTCCTATTTAATCTCTTTATATCCATAGTTTAGGAAGAAATTGACAGAAGTTCTAAGTCCTCTACACCAGTGGTCTCCAACTGCATTCCGTGAGGACCAGAGTCCTGAAATTTTATAGACGTGTCCTTTGTCCTACACACTTGATTTCAATGGCTAAATTGCCTCAACAGTCAAGCTCCACAGAGCTCTGTAATGAGCTAATATTGGAGCCAGGTGTGCTGAAGCAGAGATGGATCTAAAAGTTGCAGGACCCTGCCCTAGTTTGAGACAACTGCTTTACACCTTCTCTTTTGGGAGAGTAGACACAGTCCATTGCTTGTCCTGCTACTTCCTCAGTCGGTGTGCAGAGTGGGGTTTTACATTGTCCTGTTGAATAATAGAAGGAGATCCCTGGAAACCATGGTCTTGAGTTCAGTGTACAAAAGTTTAAGCCCGCACACAAGACCAAGACACACAAACGTTTTAGCTGTGCCATGACTAAATGATGAAAAGCTTATGATGTGTGGATATTTTTGAAGGGGGGATGAACTCTTCAAACCTCTGTGTATCACTACTTTATGGCAGAATGGTTGTATTGCTAGAGCAGTCACCTCCCCCGGTAAGGCCGTTCAAAACAATGTTCAGTTCATTAAACCCCTCCAATGATAAGGACAAGATGACACTGTCACTGATCAGCTGTCCTTCTCTGTGTTGCGAAGGAAGCCCAGACATATGCTGAGGACACCAGTTTGCTGTTCATGGAGACGTCTGCCAAGACAGCCATGAATGTCAACGAGCTTTTCTTGGCTATTGGTGAGACACCTTGTACCAGATTCAAAACATTTAGCTCTTTTGTAAATGAGTTAATAATGTGGAATATGCGTTGTCCTTTGCTAATCCTATTACAACTCTCATTTACTCTGCTGTAGCAAAAAAGATGCCAAAAACAGACACGCAGAACCCAACACACGCAGCACGACATCGGGGAGTGAACCTCCAGCATCCAGACGCCCACTCCAGCCGAGCCTGCTGCGGCGGAAACTAAAGCTCCTGAACCACCCCGCTGTGTATTAACATCCCCCCCACCCATCCGTTCTCCCCTCCACCACAGTCCTGAAACCGCCACGTCGTGTTGCAGCAACATCCAGAGGTTAGCCTGATGTAGGGGAACCTGACGTCCGCTCCCCTCTGTGTGTTGCGCCCATCCTCCAGTCCAAGCAGACAGAAACCCAAAGGAACGGGGGAAGACAGAAGAAGAATGATGCCAATTGAATTAAGGGCGGACACTTGAGTCTGCCCACCAGACTCTGAGATTTTACTTTTGGAAATAACAGGCGAAGACCAAGATTGAGAAGTGCAAAACAAAGGAAATGTGCAAGGCAGCGGCAAGCCTGTTGTAGTATTTAGCACCAATTGTGAAAATCCTGTTTCTCTCTGCCTTGCTTCAGTTTACCCACTGTCCTGTTGCATAAACTGAACAGCACATTCTTGTGAGTGGACAGAAACCATTAGAAAAGGGAGCTTTCTTCTTCTTTGTGGAGCTTGCTTTGTCTGATTTTGAACTGATGAAAAGTCTGCTGTGAATACTGCCTCATACCACCGTCCTGGAATGACCTGTAACCCTTCTGTCATGCTTGAAAAGATCCATATCACAATGTCTCAAGTGTGTCAGCCTGGTCAAATTTCTAGTGTGATGATTTAGACTTCATTGCCTTCCAGCTGTAATATTCCAGCCTATCCAAATCATGTCCTGTAGTCTAGGTAGAAACTTAAATTTACTACATGAGGCCAACGTGTTGGCGCACACAAAGCTAAACCTGTTTGTATTTTAGGTATTTCAGATGCAATGTTGAGAAACTCCCTGCAACGTAGTGCATGGGCAGTGATGAAGAAAGAGGGGAAACTTTACCACAACACTATGGCCTTGATGTGGAGGGGATGTTGGGCACTAAACACAATGAACAGCGGGGAAATCTAAAGCATTCGGATTGGCATCAAATACCAGGATCCTGCTGTGAGTAGATCTCTTAAACCGACTGAAGGGCTGCACTGAGTAATAGAGGTGATTCGATTGCAGATAATGCCATGGTGTCTGCTTCTGTGCATGTAAAAATTCTCGCCTCAGATCACTGATATCCTGGGGTTGTTTGTTTAGTTATGTGGAAGAAAGCAGAAAAGATCTAAAATGAATATCAAAACAACCCAAGTTTCCCTGTGGGATCTTTTCTGCCCGTCTTCTGGTAAATGTCCCTTGTTTGTCTCTTGTCACGGTGATCTTAGATGGTTTTCTGAATTAACTTATTTTCAGACAATGCTCTTGAAATGAGTTAGGTGTGCTTGTTAGCTGTCAAACCTGGCCGAAGAAAACAGGAAAAAAAAAATGTTGGTAAAACACGAGAACAGAAGTGCCTACTCCAAGTTTTCTTTTTCCTTGGTGTGACTTTTATTTTATTTTTTGTGGACAGGGCGCAGGAAAAGCACTTCCCTGATACTGGCTTGTATTTAAAACAACATGGCGTCTTGTCGTTAAGCTACACTGTAATGGCTCTTTGAATGGATGTAAAGAGATCTTGTCAAAGACACTGTATGTCATATATTGTCCTTATTTTAATGAAAGTGTATGTTGACTTTAGCAGATCACACCTGTAAACCTGGAATGGATTGTTCAAAGGACTCTAATCAGTGTTATAAATCTATTTGATTTAAACCAACAGTGATGACCAGTGCAATATTTTCCCTTTTACAATTTCTTGGAAAAACCTTTACAAGTACCTTAAAAGCGTGAAAAATGTATTTATGCAATTTGGAGAAGAGTTCATGCAAAACGACTTACAAATGAGGAGGTGCAGTTAATAAAGCTAACAATAAGCTACTTGGAAGGAAGACCGCAGGCAGGCAGGCTCTGTGAGACCCTCCGACAGAAACAAATCTGTCGGAATTTCTGTAAAGGATACTGAATAGTAGACGGTGACGTCTAGTAGAAAGATGGATACTGAAATCAAGCTTTAATGTGTAATCTCAATGAATCCCCAGAAAAGCTAACAATAGCTAGTATACTAGCAGTAGCTTTCTGTAGCAATCGCGTCAATATTAGCATGTTGGTTAACAAGGCAAGAATGAATTATTATACTATTAGTTACTAGCTAGCAGGCAGCTACTAGCTAATAAATTAGTGGAAACTGTGTTGTGCTTTAGCAATTACTATCTGTATATTAGCCTGCAATAGATAACTACTATACGAATTGAGCATTACCCAACGATATAATTTTAGCATGTTAACTAATATTAGCTAACGCCTTTCCATCCAAATATTAGCAATGTGAAGTAAGGCAGATATATGTAACACCAATTTTTGGAGTGTAAACACAATCAATAGGATGCACATTTTTGAATTTATATATATATATATAAAGTTTAGGAGATTTATTTTAACGCATATGGGGATTATCTTAGTTTTTTTTTTTTATTCGATTTAAAACTATTACCTATATTCAGGAACCTGTAGCATCTTTTTTTTTTCTCCTCCTGGAATGGTGTCTAGGTGTAGAAAACAACAACTCCTGACTTTAGCCCGTTTCCCACCAACACATCTCTTGGTTATAAGAACTTTTCCAATAGTCACGGCAACACATGGAACGGTATGAAGCCCCAAAAGGACATTGCAAGGAAAAAAAAAAGAAAACATGAGTACCAGATCCAATTTCATGCTTACCAGATCTTGTGCACTTGAGAAATTTTATTTTTTCCTTCAATGTCATTTTGGTGGCTCTGCAACATGTTACCCACAGCTTTTTAGAGTTCAGTAGTTTTTCTTCTAGCATGAAACTGATGCAATTTTACTTAAGAGCTGAGTCTTGTTGGAAGTCGGCAAAATTATCAAAAACTAATTAGAAAGTTGGAGCATCTGCTGAAAAAAAAAAGAAATGCACAATTCTGCTAGCAAATCACTAGGAAAAAATGCACTCTCAGTACTTTTGTTAGGATAGTGAGAGAAATTTATTTGCAAGTTCCTAATTAAAATTAATTCATATTTTGCTGAAAGATAAAAAAAAATCAGTATGGCTGAGGGTTCAGCCATACTGCATTGAAAATACTGTTTCTAATAACCACAGTTGACTTCTTTTTGTTTTTTAGTTTTAGTGATAGATTATTCAAAAAAAAAAGAAAAGAAAAAAACATCATCAGCTTCTTTAATCTTTGCCATTAAATTAGAATTTCCTATTACCAAAGAAACTGAAATTCAAATCCTGTTTTCTAAAATGGTCTGGCTTTGTTTAAAACCCATAAAATGACATCTTAATAAAGAAGTCCGTTTCCTGCGTTCTAACCCTCACACTCGTCATCGTCAGTGCTCTGGTAAATGACCTGGTTCCTGCGTTTGATTCTCGGAGTCGTGTTCCCGCTTCCCGCTTCGCCGCCGCTCCGCTTCAGGATGCGAGCGGCAGCCTCCTCATCACCGCACCGTCCTTCCTGTTCGCCCTCTGGCTGAGCGGGAGGAGCTCTGGGGGTGGAGTGGGAGGGGGGTGGCAGGTCCATCAGGACAGAGGGGGAGACGGTAGATTTGGGCTCTGGCAGGACCATCCGAAAGGGGGTGTGGGTATCTGAGGGCAGGTCCGCCTTTGCTCCTTCCTCCTCTTCTTCTTCCCACTCGTCTTCGATGGTGATCTCATCAGGGTTAAAAGAACTGGACAACCCTGACGTATCCGTCGGATACTCGCTGGGTTCATCCAGACTCTCGTCCTCGCCCCCCCCGGTGGCGCTCTGGGACCTGCCTGCGTCGTCGCCTCTCTGCCCGACCTTACAGTAGACGTCTGTGAGGCCCAGCTTGGCGCAGAGCTCTGTCGTTTGTGGGTTGGTGTTGTAGCTCGGGGGGGCGTGTGGCTGGGGATGGCTGGGGTCGTACGGCGGGACGGTACGGCTGAAGTTTTCTGGAATAGCGAGTTCCCCGCTGAGATCCTCCACCACCTGCATCATGTCCGCCTCCGAAGCTCTGAAGTCCCACCTGACGGTTACAGACAACCCACAGCAGCGTCAGGGGAAACCACGACCAGCGAAATCACAAATTCTGTTGCCACAGAGCGTTGAGCAGCACAGTGTGCATGGCGCTCGCTGAAAATATAACAAACGTCGCAATTTTGGCCCTCAATTAAACCGAGTCTACCGGACTGCTAGCTATGAAAACACACGAAGGCTGTCTACAGTTCCAAATCCAGCATGTTCTGCAACAAACTGAAAGCTAAAACAGAGCCGCTCTGCCTTCCTGTTACATGTAAGAGATGTCATGACAGAGAAAACACAGTTTCCTTTCCATCAGTGTCTTGCATCTTTGACTTTTAGACACTGACAATGACTAACATGGAGTCTTCTTTCCTCAGGAGCAGCTTTCACACTGAAGAGTGTTTTTGTTGCTGTGATCCCTAAAGCATTATTGGATTTTTGAGGTCCTAATCAGTCAGTCGAGCTGAAAATGCTGCAACGTAACTCAACAGTTTCTCTACAAATGTCAAAGTTATTTGATAATTAAAAACAAAAAGAATTTAAGCATACAGTACACTGAGATTCATGATTGTGTGTATATCGTGCCATTTATCTTGGGGACCTTTGCGTACCGTTCGTGCAGGCCGTTATTCTCTGGGGGGTTCCAGCGCTGAGGAGTGGTCACCTGTAAACTGTTGGTAGCTTTCAGAACAGCAAACCACTCCGGGTCATATTCCAGACCCTCAGATGAACTCGATCTGTCTGGAATATCAACAATCTGAAAGATATGGAGATATAATGTGAATATACAAGTATGAAATGGCGTAGTATCTATGAAGAAGACTTCCTCTGACCTGCAAAAACTCTCTGTAGGGGAGGCACTTATCCAGAGACAGGAACTTGGTGACACGTGGGGCTGCGTTACCCTTAGGCTGAGAAGAGGAGAACCAAGTTTGTTTTTTGTTTTTTTGTATGTGAATTAGCATTTAACTGAGCCATGTTCTACCTGGAGGGAGTGAGACACTTACTGGATGCTGCATGACAGCAGCAAACTTTACATGGAGATGTGCAGAGAACCAGTAGCTGGGCTGCAGATGGGCCAGCAGCTCCTCAGCAGCCGGACTTCCCAGGGTGTTGGTCTCCACTTCCGACCGCAGGAACTTCTTCTTCCGCAAGAGATCCTCCGTGTTTCCATAATGGTAGATTCTTCGAGGCCAGTCGTGGCTCATGAAAATGTCTATGGGCATCTGGATCTTTTTTTTTTTAAACAGTAATTTACCAGTAAGACACAAAAATCCCCACCAAAAAAAAAAATCACCAAAAACCAATATGCAATTCATATGCAAGCCTGTCACAATAAGCAAGGAACCAGTTAATCAAATAATCAATTAATATAAGCTGAGACCCTCATAATCCATTTTATTTATGGTTTTAGTTTTCTGTGTTTTTTTAAATTTCTGCTCTATTTATTGTTTTTGGTTCTTGTGTTTTACTTTGGATATTAAAAAAAAAATCTTCCAGTTCCAGAGTTCTTTTCAAATTTGAAGTGGCAGTATTATGTGTCTTCCAGGCACATAGTGCCATTTTATATTGCACTTAAGTAACTATGTTAACTTGAGTTGTTATTAAAATTAAGTTTATATCAAATATGACTTAAAAAGAAATTTGACTACCTAATTTAACACCTTGAAATTGGGCCTCTGTCTCTTTAAAAACTCCTTGCTAATCGCCGTTGGCTAGTCTACAGGAGCTGTGTGCTCTTTCAGACTAGTTGTTGTGGGAGAGGCGGAAGCTCAGAAGCCTGTAAATTGCAGGAGCTTCATGTTCGAAGGCGGAGCTAGAGCCACCCGGGTGTTTTGCACAGCTGAATGGTTGCCATGGAGATTAAAAGATTCTCAAACATGCATCAAAGAATCCGGGCAACAGGTATACTTTTGATGAGGAAATAAAATTGTAGCACGATGTAAAACTCAAATACCGTATTTTCCGCACTATAAAGCGCACCGAAAAACCTTCAA